TAACAGAGAATCGATATTCTAATCGTTAAATAAAAAATTCGATAAGATTTTATTATATACCTTTATAATAAATCTTTAAAGAATATATCGAAATTTTATTTTCGTCATTAAATTTAATGACGTTTACTGATATTGGTCGTGATATTTTTTGATATTCGAAACGTTGGCAGACTCGATTTTTCTAATGACTTCGAAATCGAATTATCGTAACAATTTTGAATTTAAATAAAAAAAAAAAAGAAAAGAAAAGAAAAATTGTTTAAAAATATTTTATTAACTTTAACATTCTATTTTGTTCAAAGGACGAGATCAATTTTGGATTTAAACGAAAAGTGTGGATAAGGAAAAGAAGCTTCATTGAAAAATAAGTCCGCAATAAATATTACTCACAGAATTTTCATTTTATGAAAAATCAGCAGCTCGTAAAATCCAATAGAAACAGATACATCGATGAAAGTTATTTCTAGTCAAATGCAATTTAGGCTAGGGGCCGGAAGCAAGCAGTGGCGGATGAGCGTTTGCGATGTAGAGGTATCCATCTAATTGGCTAGACGTTGACGGGTCAGTACGCACCATATCCGGTTCTCAGCCGAAGCTCAAAGCCTGGATATATACCGATAATCGAATTAAGAGTGGGTGGAGTGTCAAAAGTGTAACGAATGAACCATTGAATGGAGTTGAAACTGTCGAAAACACTTTTCCAGCATTGACCCAATATACTTTTCAACGGGGGATCAGAAATTTTCGGTTGGACGGGAATATACACGAATATTCGGAAACTTGCTTTTTCAAATGTTTTTTCCCCTCTCCTCGTTTTTTTTTTTTTGCAATTTTTTTTATAACCGTGATAGAATATCTGAAATTAACGGAGTGTGCACGATCATTCGTTTGAATCCAACAATGTTGTTTGTTTATACTAAAAATTTGTGGAAACGTGGAATCACAAATAAATTCATTTGTATTTCTCGCGTATAACTTTTAAAAAGAAATTAAAAATTTTATTATCAAAATTTACTTTAAAAAAAAAATCATTGAAGTTCTTTTTTTTTTGTTTAGATATCTTAATCAATTAACGAGACATAAGAAATCGAAGCTGTCCATAGCGATTAAGACACTAGTGAAGAGAGAATCAGCCATCTAGTGATTTATATTTTTTCCTAGAAATGTATCTTCCTAGAATCGCGTTTGTCTGAAGTCAATGAGACGAGTGCAAATGATAAGAACAGAGATAGATAAATGATTAAAAATCTTTTTCTTTACACGACGATATCTACAGAACCGGAAGTCCTATTAGGATGAACGAAAATGCATTTTAAACAGCAAGAATCCACGTTTCATCCTTCGCTATTCTTAGAGTTACAATGATTTAAAGATTTCCTAATTTTTATCGGATTTCGAAGATGAACAATTAAAAATTATCTCTTCTTTACGCGACGATATCTCCGGAACAGGAAATCATATCAAGATAATTGAAAATGCGTTTTAAAGAGCAAAGTTTCATCCCTCTAACGATCCTTCACTCATCGACCGGAAGTCACTATCCCCGAAGTTACAACGGTTCAAAATTTTCTTAATTTTAATAGAATTTAATCGAATTTAAATTACGCGACTTTGCCTCCAAACACATTTCCTATTCATCATTCATCCTTATGTCACTCTATTTCCCATCGCTCTTCGTTCTCCCCAATAAAATATCATTACTCCCACGATACGGCAGAAAATTCCTCGAGAGTTTCTCGAATTAATTTCCCGATCGCGTTGGTGGGCAAAAGTAATTCGGAGTGAAAGGAATTTCTCTCGTTCCACGGCCGCCAATTATCCGGAAGTTTTCCTTTCGGCCGGCCTCCCTCGTCGATATCATCCTAATTGCTATCGAGCGCCTTGGTAATCCATTAGCGGGCCAGAGATGGCCTAGATCGCCGGCCTTGGAAGCTTCGCCACGGCCTATCCTCCTCCTGCCCTATCTTCCTCTCCACAGAAGAATCTATTCGGCCCCCGATTCTATCTACTCACGCTACATTTGATGTGGGAATCGCGTTGCTTTGCATCCGTGAGGATTAATGGAGGAGAAGCGCGTTTCGAAACCGTGTGAATTGTATATATATATATATATTATATATACATCGATACACGATTCGAGAGGCATGATGGATTTTTTAAAGAATTTCGGATGACGTTTCGGATATCTCTCGAATTAAATATTGAATTTAAATTTTAAAAAAATGATATATATACTGTTATATTTATTTTTATACATTTAACAATATTATTATTGTTGATTCTGTTGTAAACGTATTTCGTATAACAATAATTACAAAAATAATGCGACGAAATATCAAAAATGTTAATATCGAAATCATTATAAGCAATCGTTGCTATAATCACGATAATATCGTGACGAATCAAATATATATATATATATATATATATATATATACGAAATTACTCGTCATTTATTATACGCGATGTGGGTTTAATCCACGCTCGAACGTTAAAATCCATCGTCAAATTGTAATCTTTTCGAACATGAAACATCGACCGTGGTCATTTTACAATGGATACGGGGACGTAGAAGCCGTAAATCCTTGAATTTTATTTCGATGAATTATCCTCCCCTCCCCTCCCCTCCGGATATTTATATAGAAGGTCGCCTGTTTTATTCGTGTTTTCGTCGATATCCAGCCACCTATTGAAATTCAGATCGAAGGAGCGAGTGTTTCGATTTACGGATTAACGGATTACGGGAATAATGGCCGGGTATAATTCGGGTTTTTGTCGAACATCGGATACCACGATGAGCAGATCTCGGCCCAGGAAATTAAATTCGTCGATTCTTGACAATTTTTTTCCTTTCCTCTCGAAGTCTTTTTTTTTTTTTTTTGTAAC